CGGATCGCGATTTCGATCTTTTTGGATCTCATCAGCGCGTCGCAGGCAGCTCCGACAGAACACAGACCAACTTTTACCTGCTGTCTTAACAGCGCGTTTTAGAAAATACTACAAATGGCGCGGTAAACGCCATCTGTAGTACGATGCTACATTTTAGGATTACGTATGCTCCAACAAGGTCCATTTATATACCTCAACGTGGTAGGCACGTTACCATAATCGAATAAAATAATTCGAAGTGGTCTGTATTCTGGTGTTTACTGCGCCATTTGTAGTATTTTCTTCTCTGATGGAGTTTTGATTATTTGATTTTTTTTTTGGAGAGTTTTTTGTGGCGGAAAATTCACGATAAAAACTGCACGAACTGTAGAAAGAGATGTTGGGGTTAGGGTTGGTTGCAATGGTGCTACTTTATCTTGGCGCAATTCAGCCGTGAACGAGAGGGGTAGAATGGCGTGAAAATCCGCGTTTTAGCTTGGTAATGATACTATTGCTGGGAGCGAATGGGGATGGGGGGATGAAAAAGAGACAGAGACAATCTGGAGGATGATAAGAGCAAAGGGAGATGATGAGGGAATGCGTTACTAAAGTGGCTTCTGTTGGAAGCAAACGTTCGAAATGAAAACTAGGAACGAAAAGATTTTTGTTATTCGCATTGTAAAACGATTAATAATGTGGTAACCCCACAGTGGACAGTGGAGAATGATGTCGATTACATTTGTACAGTACTTTATTTTTCTGTTATAAGTAACTGTATAATCAATTGGATGATGGAGTTATCTAAAATTATCTGGTGTCGTGCCGTTGAGTAATAAATATGCGACTCCCCGTTGCTGGGAATGGGGAACGATGAATTTAGTCAGTCCGAGTGTTTGTATAGGAAATTCTATGCCCTGTTGTGGTAGACATATGAATACATTTCTACATGTGTGGGGCAGTCACCACTGTATTTGTACGTTATTATTATTATTATCATTATCTTACCCTAATGTTTGTGAAAAATAAGTAATGTTTGAACAAGTTTGATTTCATGGAGAAAATGTATGAAAGTCTCCAAGGGTCGTGCTGTTTCTCACAGGAGAAATAGGATCAAATTGAGATGATGGTATTTTACAAAATCGAAAAAAAATAATAATTTTCTCAAGTGTGTATCAAAAAGGTTCGACTTTGATTTGCGGTTTACAGTAACTATTGACAGAGACACTTTGGCGTGTTATGTGTGCAGTACTGATTTTAGGTTTGCATGTCCATAATTTGGGTCATTTAATTGCCTCGAAACCGTTGTTTGATCATGATTTAATGGTCGCTAATAAGAGGTCAGAGGAAAATAATGGAAATAATGGTCCCAAGATTGCGGGGACAGTATTGCATTGTAATAATTCATAGAACAAAAAAAGAATAACTTGAAGTCACTTAAATGGGTCGATCATAATACAAACGATGTTACTGTTCGTTTCAAGCAGTTAGAGATATGACCCTTCCCTTTATTAGGATGCGCCGTAGCATGATTCCAAATTCAATCATATTTGTCTGCGGAGCTCATTTCTCCACCGATCATCGAGTGAGAACTAGACAAAAGTGTACAGTACCATTTGCAAAATTATTTAAACTGCCTNCGCGTTCCTCTATTTCTTCTAAACCCAAATTGATCTTCCCCTAATAGTTCTTCCGCCCTTTTTTCCATCCTCCTCTGTACAATTCTAGTTAAGATTTTTGACGCATGGAAAGTTGGGCGATATGATTAGAATTATTACAACTTCTCGTACAATTATCTTTTAAGTTCAAAATAGTACAGAGGCCTCGAAGCGCGAAGCAAACAAAGTTTTGTCCTGTATTTTCGGTGTTAATAAACCAACGCCGAATCAAAGGAGACTGCTTTAAAATAAACGGCTTCGGGCGTCAAAAGGACGCACGGTTGGTAAATTTCACGATGCCGCCGGTAGGTAGTGCGAGAAATAACAACAATAATCAAACCAAACGGTCGTTCTGCGGTGTCGGGCGTCGCGATGCCCCACGGCCCCAATTTCGTCCTCTTTCTGCTGTACAAACTTAATAAACCGCAGTCAAAGCGGCACGTTTCACGGTCCGCCGCGTCTCCTCCGTACGCGCTCTTACTGCCCGAAGGCATAGCGAATTGCAACCGAACGTAGCCGAACTTGTGTGTTTATCAAGCGTTCACAGAAGCGAACAAAAGGGATGTAGATTATGGAAAAGTTTACAGATCTTACAACCAGTAATATTAGTAATATAAGAATAAAATAGAGATCTCGTTCTTCAAAAAGGAAAGAAGCACATTTAAATATACAAACAATTCAAGTGTTATGTAAAATGTTAGAAAATGTTAGGCCCTCCAGTTCCCTAAGTAATAATGACCAGAATACTTTAAGGTATACCCAGAAATATCATTCCTATCATAACCTAACCTAATTCCCACAAACGAATGAGCGAATTCTAACTCACTCCCTTAATTCATGCTGCCTTCTGCTACCGTGGACTTATGATCCAAGCAATCAAACAAAAGCATTCTTCAGTGTTAATCCATTTATTGGGCATGTTCTCTTTTTAGCCTCAAATAACTTTTGACCCCTTGAATTTCGACACCCTAAGCTTCTCCTACTGCCTCACACAGGAGGTACCCTCCATCATGAGTTACTAACAAGCTAGGACATTATCGTATATTAGTAAATTTACTTTACCTTGAGAGGGAGTGGAACTGTGTGAACCCCAAGAACTCTTGTAGGATGTATCTGAAAAAAAATAAAACAATTCAGTTAAACTGGTATCGCTTATAAATTAATTAAAAAACGCAGCAATTCGTTTCAAGTTTATGAAGTAAAGAATTGTTCAAAATACGGTAAGAACAAAATATATCCAAATGAAAATGTATTTTGATTGATTTCTTACATTTCTTTTGCCAAGAAGACTTAACTGAGCCAGAATTTTTTGCAAACTGAAAATTTTGAAACCTTTTTCTGGATGGTTTTAAAGTGGTGTTGAAATGGAACTTTGAAGTAGGTTTTTAAATTATTTTTGAGCTATACAAATACAAAAATTGAATTTTTTTTTGCTAACACTATCTACGAAAAAACCTTAAACCTTTTTAAAAACCTACTTTTGAATCTGTAAACGACAAACCATGAAATTTTGTTAGTTATGTAAGGTAATAAATGGTAATTTATTTATAATAAAAGGATAAAATTGAGGATAAATACCAAACAACATGGAAAAGTTACTGAAGGTGGAGCTCCTGCTCAAATAATCCGCCGAGGGTTTGATGTCCAACATTTTACAGAAGGAAATTGCACTTTCAATCACTAAATTTACATCCTAACAACGAAACCAAATTATTGTCAGTTCGAGAAAAAACTACGTGAAGAATTACGCGTTCAAAATCGACGATCGCATTGTAGAGCTCACGAACATTCTGTGACAACAACCGGCTCGAAACGTCGCATTATTGTTATTATTATTTTTCGACTATTCCGATCGATTTATAAATTATTTCCGATATCGGCGTCCCATGACGTAATCTGTCAAACTTGTCCGAATATTTAGCACATGTATGACAGACTGAAACTTTTTCGACGGTTTTGTGAAGAAGAACTTGAAGGGTGGAGCCAGGGGTTAATCGGGCCAATCGGAACCGGGGGGGTGAAAATGGCTCGGCGAGATCCGCCCCAGCAAACGGCGCAAACGGGACGCTCATCGCACACCCCCGCACAAACTACCGCGGGGTGCAATCGCGGTTTTTGTTTTTTCTTCTAGGACTTGTTCGTATGTATGCACGTAAGTGTGTAAGCACTGGATATACATATAGGTATTCTCATTCGAATTTAATTAGGTAACGTTATCCTTACGAAGGACGACATTCTCGAAAACAGGATCAAATTCTGAACGTACAACGGGAGGCATGTAAAATTGGCATTTTAACGTAAAACTGTTTTTTTGACAAATTGGTGCATTTAGTATATGTGTGAGATAGGAAATAGTAGCGGTCCGATCCGGGGTACCGCAAGTCTAGTACCTAGGCCCCTTCCTTTTTAAGCGTTTATGAATGAACTGCGTTCTTATATATTTTTTCTTAACCATTTTGCTATAGTTTGCGAAGCGTACACATCCTTGGGATTCATGATAAGGAATTGCAATGAGTTTATAATAATATTCAAACCATAATCTGCTAGTTTGTAACACTGGTCCTTCACCCAGGTTTGAAGGGAATAGACATTACAAGCCACTTACAAAATTGGAAAACTCCGTCAAAAGTTTTTCAGATTTTTGGTGTTCGATAAGATGGCTCGGTCAGTGCCACCATTAGATTACGATTACATGCTTAAGCATGCAGTTAAAAATTAAATAAGAAAGATAAACAAAATAATAATTCCTTATACTTTTGGTACATAAACTTTAAATTTTAGGGCAGCGGAAAGTTTCATGATGATATACCGGTGAATAAACTACATTGCACTTGTATTTATTTTCATTTGTTTTTGTTTAAAACGAATTTTAGAGATGAAGGGTACAGTAGTAATAACATAAGAAACGAGGCAGGGGTCATGTTGATAGTAAATGAGGAAAAGGCAGATAGGTGGAAAGAATACTTAGAGAATCTATATGATGATGTTTTTGTTTATTTTCAGTTTTTAATAATAAATAAAATGCATTGTTATTTTTGTTTCAGAATCTTCATCAGACATGGCGTGTGGTAAGTCTTTGAATTATTTATAATTTTACGTATTTGTTACATTTTTGGGTACACAAAGTTGTACATTAGGGGGTAGATTTTGCAGATTCTCCCCATTTTTATATGCCCTTGCATTGGAATCAAAAAGTTAGGACTTAATAAGGTAATATATTATTTTAAATACCTAGATGAGAAAATAACTTCTAAATAGTCTCATCAAATTGAGAAACAATGGGTTTAGACATGAGTCTTAGCAGTAATAATAGACAATAATAATAATGGTGACGATAGTAACGCTCTCGCTAAACTGATAAGCGCTTCGTATATTTCCACCATGAAGCCGCAAAGGCGTTTTCTCACTTGGTGCATTTCCCTTCTAAACAATATTCGCGAAAGTTCTTGAAAGCGGTTCCTTCTTACACAGTCGAAAAGTTTTAAGAGCAGTTTGAATGGCTCGAACGTCGAGTCGGCATCATTACAGTAAAGTCTTTTACGTTTTGTGATATCGAATTCGAACTTTGAAAATTCTTCTCGCTGATACGCGGGATGTTTGGAGAAACTTTTGAAAGCTCTGTATGTTATTCGTTCGAAAGCTGTAAAATAAGCTTTGAAATGCACGATGCGATAAGAAACCGGTGATGGAATATGTAAATAAATTGCATTGTTATTTAGAAGACTAAAACGGAATGTACCTATATATACAGGTAAGGCAAAATGTTAACCGAACATACTGGAAATTACGTTGTTTTTGTCGGCGTTTTCTCTTACGTCGCATGAGCGAAAATTCATAACGTGGAACATCTTTTCTCAATTACGTCATCTGAAAATTTCTTCTGAAGACTCCTAGAGTAGCCGAGCCCTTAAAATCTTCTGGACTAGAGCAATACCCCTCACAGATTTTAAATCTTATTTGTTGGTCTTATAATTCCTACAAAGAATTTCTACGTTCGGTGAACATTTTACTTTAGAATATTTATACGTATGTGTGATACGTAACTAATGTAATAATGTAATAGTAATGAGTGTATTATTATAGTAGTGTGTGTGTGTGTGTACTAGCAGCTAGGAGTCGAGTGGTTCAGTTAGTGCAATCGATGTGACTGCCGGGTTGCTATGGTAGCGTTTCCGGTGAGCGTACTGGCTCTTCAAACTACCACCACCACCACCACTGCCACTACCACTCTAAAGCTCTACTACTACCACCGAAAGCTCGATAGCCGTCGGGAAAATCGGAAAATTCGTCGCCAACGACGTCAATGCTCGTATTGTGTTAGGAAACAGATAAAAATCGGCTAATGTTGCGTCTCCAAGACGTAATCCTGATTGAAAAATTCATTATCGAGTAGGTCGTAAAGGTAGGGGGGAATGAGGAAAAGTTCATAGAAATAGTAGTAATTTTCTACGATAGGGATTTCGTAAACGTCTATAAAAGACTTCTTGTTAATTAAACAGAAAATGCCACAATACTTGATTATCATTTCCACCCCAGACCAATGTATCAATTAATACGTCTAAACTCGTAGTAACTACTAAAAATAAATCATGAAAACTTCCAAAAGTTTATATTAAATTTGTGAAAAATATATTAAAAGTTATATTTGGCTCTTAAGTCTTCATTTCTATCACATATTGCATACAGAAAATGTTCAGTTAGTTTCAAAATCATTTGAAGTCAGTTGCTATTGAAAATAATGATATATTAATTAGCAAGTCACGTTGTAAGTAAACAAAGGAAACGTATCGTACAACATTTATGACATATATTCGCTTTGTATTATCCACAATTATTCAAATTTAAATTTGGTCCTTCGAGCCGGATCTCTACATATTAAGACCTAGATTCCTAGAATTAGCAAGCTAATAACTGAATATTTTGCTGTAGCTGATTTCCCCAGAGAACGGACCAATGTAAAAGAAGTTAAACGTGAAACGTCCAATCGAATTAGCCTATTTATTCAGTTTTTCAGGAAACCGTTTCGGGGAATCACAAATAAAAAGTATTGGTTCTTATTAATTACCAAGTTATTTGAAAAAACAACGAGGTCTCAATTGTCATTTTAATCGACTTATGGTAGACAAAGTTAGTTGGTTGGTTTCCCACGAGTGAATCGATTCTGGAACGATGATCATTGTCACCAGGAAACCCGATACCGTTTGCCACACACACACACACACACACATTCAATACATCGTGTTTGCCGTTTTAGGAGCCACGTGGTAATAAATTAGGTGACAATAAAGAAACCAAACACTCAATTAAACAGATTCATCGTCGCGACCCGATCGGGCCCACCCCTGCAATGAAAACATTTCACCCACTTTCCCACACGATACGCAACACGGTGCAATTATAATAAAAATAGTAGTAATGGTAACGATCACGTTGAGATAGATGACGATGATGATGATGACGACGACGACGACGATCATGATGCGTCCGAGGCGACCGACCCGTTGCTGCGATCACCGAGTCGTATCGTCTAAATTGTTAGCGTATGTCAATTGTCATCCCAAACAAACCCCTATTGTGACGCGATAATAGAAATGAACATCGGACACGTTCCGGTCACGTGGGGGGTGCACAGGGTAACGGGAGAGGTCCATATAAACCGCTCATAGTAATAAATAGAAGATCGAGAGTGCCTTGTGGAACATCATCGTCATCGGGTGCTTGATCGTAACTAATAGGTATAGTTCGTCTCATATTTGGTGACGTTTTTTTTTGGAATCTCGTCATCATTAAGATAGAATTTTATTTTATAATAAATCGTTTTTTAATTATTAA